GGGGGGGGGGGGGGGGGGGGGGAAATGGAGGGAGATGATGCTGTGAAAAAAAAGTCAATTAGCATTGTCTGTGGTAAAAGCTGTTCAAGACTTGTCTGTTAGTCGATGACAAGAATCAAAAACAACCTGATACCAAAAGTTTGTTCTATATCCTATACAGTGGCGCTATTACAAACCAGTGACTGCCAAAATAAAATATTCACCCGGTTTGGCTTTTCCCTAATACAAGGGGTTTAATGTTGAGATCAGACAAGACATTGGACGGCCAAGATCTGTCAACGTCTCAGAATGCCCCGTTCTCTGTGCTCCTAAAGTATTTACACAACCAAATTGCAATCACTTGATGTTCACGGCTGCTGACATGGCACGCAATTCCTTTGCAATTTCTGAGAATGCTGGCCTAGAGTCTGGATCAGATGACCAACACCGCTCCATCAATAATCTCCATGCCGGGTCACACCAGCTTGGAATTTCAGGACGAAGATTGCCTTTGATGATACCAGCTGAAAATATCGTAACTCTCCGATGCCTAAGTCAGAAAACTTGACAAATAGACAAAGCTCTAAGTTCTCAGAAAGATTGTGTTCAATTACCTCCTCCAAGGTGATGCTTGTAGGCTTTTATAAGTTTCCCGTGGCACAATCCTGGTAGGACTTGTATTTCTCCATGCAGAGTCCTCCTAGGATTCATACTCCTAAGGATAATGCTTATCCTTTTACACCCTCCCCCACTGCTTAAACCAAGTGGGATGGTTTTCTCTTCGGCCGAACTACCTCATGACCGAAATAGCATTGGCTATGCCGAACCGTAGAATAGGCCATACTAACCGTAGTTCGGTTCTTCTTGCCACACCATATATTGGTTCTCCCATACACGAACCGTGGTGCATTTGAACCGCTCTTCCAAGTAATAACATTCCGACCAATCTTGACCGGAACAACTTATAACCGGACTATCTCGGAGATCGGTTTAACTAGAAGACACCTCGGACCGGAGTATCTTTACATCCCTGAGCCGAAGTAACATTTACTTCTCCCAGCCGGAGTAACTACGCTTCTCCTGGGCCGGAGTAACTTTGCTCTCCTGGGCCGGAGTATCCCTTGCGGCCTTCTTACTTAGTCCTTCGCGTTTTGGGTCTCAAAGCCCAACTTGCAGCTCGGCCCAATTTTTTCCCAAAAATTACCCTCTCAAAGACATATCTCTAAATTTTTTAATTCTTCGATACTTTTAAAAAAAAAAAATTTAATTTTAAGTTTCTA